GAAGTAATTCTGTGGAATAACATTAAAATTATAACTTTTGAGAAGTATTAGATTTTCTGAGATAAAATCTGATGGTTCAAACCAATGTTTGATTATTTGTTTCTAATTCTTAGAAGAATTTAGAAAAAATAAACCTAGTTAAGCAAGTTTTAAAAAAAAATTTTGTTTCTTAATCCTCAGAAGATTAAACATTGTTTATGGAAAAAAAATAGTCAAAATAGTCCATAGTCATTATTGAATAGTGAATCTTGAGAGAGTAGAATAAAGCTGTAAGTATTATGCTCCCTGTTTTCAAACTATACTACAGAAGCTACAGTCATCAGAAGAATATGATATTGTCACGAAAACAGACACATGGGTCAGTGGAACAGAAAACCTAGAAATGAGCCCACACTTATATGAGCAATTAGTCTATAAAAAAGGAGGCAAAAATATACAATGCAGAAAAGACCACCTCTTTAATAAATGGTGCTTGGAAAACTAAATACCCACATGCCAAAAAATTAAATCGGCTTACTTTCTCACACTATGCATGAAAATAAATTCAAATGGATGAAAGGATTAAATATAAGATCTGAAACCATAAAACTTCTAGAAGAAAATAAAGGGAGTGATATTTTTGACATTGGTCTTAGTAGTATTATTTTTTGAATCGGTCATCTCAGATAAGTAAAACAAAAGCAAAAATAAATTAGTGGGACTACATCAAATTAAAAAGCTTTTGTAAAGTGAAGGGAACTGTCAACAAAATGAAAAGGCAAGCTACTGAACAGGATAAGATATTTGCAAACAATATATCCAACAAAAGGTTAATGTCCAAAATGCTCAAAGAATTCATACAATTCAACATCAAAAAATTTTTTAAAAGTTTGATTTAAGGATGCATAGAAGATCTGAACAGACATTTCTCCAAAGTAGACATATGGATGGCCATCAAGTCCATGAAGACATTCAACATCATTAATGATCAGAGAGACGCAAATCAAAACCGCAATCAGATATCACCTCACATCTGTCGGAATGGTTATTATTAAAATGATAACAAATAATAAGTGTTGTCAAGAATGTGGAGAAAAGCAAATCCTTGTGCACTGTTTGTGGGAATGTAAATGGATTCAGCCACTATAGGAAATATTATGGAGGCTTCTCAAAAAATTACAAATAGAACTACAACTCAGCAACTCCTTTCCTGGGTATTTATCTGAAGAAAAAAGAAAACACTAAGTATACATGATATATACACCAGTTCCTTGGAGCCTCTGTTTATTATTTATTATGGGGAAAAAAGTGAAAGTGTTAGTCTCTCAGTCCTGTCTGACTCTTTGTGTAACACATCCTCTGTCCATGGAATTCTCCAGCCAAGAAGACCAGAGTGGTTTGCCATTCCCTTCTCCAGGGGATCTTCCTGACCCAGGGATTGAACCTGGGTCTCCTGCATTTCAGGGAGATTCTTTACCATCTGAGCCACCAGGGAAACACCAATAATTATATACCATATGAAAGAAAAATAACAAGGCATTGAAGTTCAGAATAACGTGATGTGACAGTGCCTACTTTAAGAAAATGATTGGAGAGGTCCTCTCTGTGGAGGCAATCTTGAACGAGAGATTTACAAATTGGGAAGGATATAGTCATAGAAACCGTGAGAAAGCAAAGCAGAACAGTATCCTTTAACTTATGTGAGGAAGTTAACAGAAATTTGGTTTAGATGGATACTAGGGTATTAGATGGTATTAGACATAGATATGAGTTTGTATTTTACATCAGGTAGAATACGGAAATGGAACAGTTATGTATGCATGAAAGATAAATGATGCAATTTACAGTTTTTTTTAAAGCCAATCATGTTGCTGTGTTGCTATTGGAAAGTTGTAGAAGTGTGGAAACACATTACAAGGCTGTTTGAGGAGACTTGGCAGTGGGTTTGACTAGGGTAGCAGAGAAGTTTATGAAAAGTAATCAATAATAATAAATGTGATAGCAATATCAATGATAATACTTCATAGTGGTTGAGGAGATTTGAAAGAGGGATGATAATGTTAAATATAGAATCTAAGTTAGATTCTATAAACAAATAAGAAAATGATGTCAGAAGATGCTTTGTATCATGAAATTATTGTGAGAATAATGCCCGAGAATTCCAGTGAAATTGGATGATTGTGGGATTAAGCTTCTTGAGCAAATGAGATGGAGGCTAAGATATTTGTGGCTGGGAAGCAATTTTTTATAACAAAACTTCAAAAGTGACCCAAAATCGAGATGAAAATCTGAAGAGTTGTCAGAGCAGAGGATAGGTGAACTGGAAGGGGAGAAAGGACATCTGAAGACAAGATAAACTGAGAGACCTGAGTGTTAGATGGCTAATCCCTGTGGAAGTTGAATTCACAATGATTAATGCCAGGTAAGGGGAGGGAGGAGGACAGAGTCTTCAGTTAAATAACTGAAGTTGTTGTTGTTCCGTCTCCAGGTCATGTCTGCTCTTCACGACCCCATGGATTGCAGCACTCCAGGTTTCCCTATTCTTCACCATCTCCTAGAGTTTGCACAGGGTCAGGTCCATTCAATCAGTGATGCCATCCAGTCATCTCATCCTCTGTCACCCTCTTAGCCAAAGTACTGTAGCTTCAGCTTCAGCATTAGTCCTTCCAAAGATTATTCAGGGTTGATATCCTTTAAGATTGACTGGTTTGATCTCCTTGCTTTTCAAGGGATTCTTGACAGTCTGTTCCAGCATCACAAAAGTATCAATTCTTTAGCGCTCCATTGGTTCCAGCTCTCACGTCTGTACATGACTACTGGAAAGATGATACCTTGACGATACAGACCTTTGTTAGCAAAATGATGCCCTTAATCTTTAACACACGGTCTAGGTTTGTCATAGCTTCCCTGCCAAGAAGCAGTCATCTAATTTCATCACTGCTGTCACCATCCACAGTGATTTTAGTGAAGTTACCATGAAGTTAAAAGTATAAGGCTGTTGGACTTTTAAACTGAATTGTTCAGCTTTAAAAACAATCTAGAAAGTGAAGTTGTAAGGAAAAACTACAGCTGCTCAATGAATAACTCTAAAACAAAACAATCTCATCTCTAACATGAGATTCTTTTTATTTGAGATTCTATAAACTAAAGCATAATTACTTCAATCTTAGCATGATAAAACTCTTCTAAAGCCTTAGAAAGAAAATGATGATAATATAGAAACCATTACAGATGCCAGCTTGACCCCAGAATCTCTATTTGGAATGCATTTTATTCTTCTATCTTTGTTTTTGTGAGCAATTGTACCACAACACATAATTCCATTTAAATAGATATATAGCAGTTAATAAGAGTTCAGAATTGTTTGCTATGCCTTACTGATCTAAGCAAAAGGAAAAAAAAAAATGTTATCCCTAACAAAATGATAAATAAAAGATTGTACAAAGGAAAATACTGTTTCAGTATGGGTTCCTTGCCAAATCAGGTAATTAAAACATACTAGCAAATTGCTTAATGTTTTTCACGATAATACAAATACCGAGATAATAGACATACAACTTAGGAAAGACTATCGTGTATCAAGAGTTGGGCTTAATGAGGAGATGCCTCCTGGTGTCTCTAGTTTATTTTTTTAATTTTTTGGCAGTCAGGCGGGGGCCTTTATTGGCTGATACATATCTACCTGCTGTGGCCGTCACAGGCGGTTGTGGGAGCAGGCGGCCCCTCCTCCAGGCCCCCGGGGGGCACTGAGGATTCAGGGGTCAGAACTCACACAGGAGCCCTGAACACCCAGTCAGATCAGGTAGCTTGACCTCAGGGTCAGGAACCCAGGACGGGAAAACAAGGAGAGGAGGGGTGCAGGTGGGCTCCCAGGTTTGGCTGGGGAGCGGGGAGGCCGAGACTGCCCGCCCTCGTCATCCCCGGATATGTGGAGGGCCGGCCAGTTGATGAAACGATAGAAGCTCCAAACCTGCGGTCCCTGCCGCAGACCTGCATCACCCCTTTTCACAGAGGGAAACTGAGGCCCAGGGCCCGGAGCCTTCTCACCTGGGCCACGCCTCCCTCTCAGGCCCCAGTCCCTGCTCAGCCTCATAGAAGGCAGACACACACCGGGTACCGGGACTAAGGCCCCCTCCCAAAGGCCTAGGTGGCGGAAGGGACGCTGAGGATATTAATAAATATGGACGGGCAGGCCCCAGGGGCAGTCGGCCCAGTCCAGGCTGGGAAGGGAAGCCTGGCCTGGCCCTCCCCGTGGGGCCACCGGCACCCTCAGTCTGTCTCCGTTCCGCTCCCGGGGGCCAGGATCCGGCAGCTGGCCGTGTGTCCCCCCTTTTGCCCTTCAGGCTCGCGGTGCCCCTGGGGGTGGCAAGGCTGGCCCCCGACCCCTCTGGTTCCAGTGGACTGGTCTCACCGAGGTCTCCTTTGCGGCCAGGTTCTCCCCACTGCCCCCATGGAGCCTTGGGGGCCGTGCTCCCCTCTTTGGCCCTTCTCTCCAGGATGGCCTGAGGCTTCTTTGGGTCCAGTGGGACCTGGGGGTCCCATAGGTCCAGGACTCCTAGGAATTGCCCATGGGACCAGGAAGCCCAGGAGGACCCATGGGTCCTGGGCGGCCTGGGGACCCAGCCGGTCCTGGGGACCAGTGGCTGCTGGTCTCAGTGAAAGGGTTGGACAGGACGGGTCCTCAGGCTGGGAGATCCAGGTGCAGGGTGGTCCAACAGGGTCTGGGGGGCCAGGGGGCCAAGAGGGCCTAGGGGCCCTGCAAGTCTCCTCTTTCCAGGGGTACCCACAGCTCCGGCCTGACCAGGGCTCCCTGGTGGGGGGGGGGGGGGGCGGAGGGGGAGAGGACCTGCTGGAGCTCTCATTCCCATCGGGCCCCTCTGCCAGGGCCTCCCTTGGGGGCAGTGGGCCCAGGAAGCCCCCAGGCACCAACTCCATCCTCTCAAGGGAGCTGAGGAGGCCTCTGGTTTTCTCTGGCTCCCGGCACCCCCAAAGGCTGCCATCCCTAGGGCTGCCCTGGGCAACTACGGAGCCCCAAGGCGGGGCAGGGTCTTGGCCTCCAGCACCTTCAGGCACTCCGTCAGTTCCGACACTTCGCGGCAGTTGAGAAACCAGAGAAGCCTGTGGGCCCGAGGGGCTATCCGCCAGGTGGCGCTGCCCGATCCCCCGGGCGCCAGGAACCCTGAGGAGTCTGCCACTTCTTGCAGCTCGGCGGCGAGGGCTCGGAGGCCGCATCTCCCCTGGCAGGCGGTCACCGTCTGGTACATCACCTTGTATGTGGGTCTCACCCCCGTCTTGTAGCTCTCACTCAGTCGTGTCCAACTCCCGTGACCCCATGGACTGTAGCACGCAAGACTCCTCTGTCCATGGGATTCTCCAGGCAATAATGCTGGAGTGGGTAGCCATTCCCTTCTGCACGGAATCCTCCCTATCCAGGGATCAAACCGGGTCTGCTCTATCACAGGCAGACTCTTTACTAACTGAAACACCGTGGAAGCCCCTGTCGCTGTTCCCAGGGCCGCTCATCGGCCAGGGGCAATTCTGCAGCACCCCCTGCAGGTCGGTGCCGTTCTACACGTGGCAGGAGAGGGTGCGGGTCACCGCCTAGGAGCACCAGTTAGTTCCTGCGCGCAGAGAACCGAGCTCCTCCCGCCATCCCCCACCCCGACGCTCCAAGAGGTCCTGCCTCGCAGGTGGTCGGAGCCCGCAGCAAAGCAGCGCCCAGGCCTGCAGGCACCCATGCTGCTCCCGGAGCCCTCCCACGCGGGCCCCTCGCAATAGCTCCCAGCCTGGCGTGCCGGCTCGCCTGCCTGCCCACGCAGCCAGCCGCCCCAGATGTGCAGATCCTGGTTCCCAGCACAGCAGCGAGCGGGCTCTAGTTTGTTATATAACTTCACTATGATTGAATTTATCACAGACAAATCCATGAAGCATAGGATTTTTAGAAAGTTCAAATTATGAGTGATCATAGAGCATTTGATGCTTTCGAATTGTAGTGCTGGAGAAGACTCTTGAGAGTCCCTTGGACTTCAAGGAGATCAAATCAGTCAATCCTAAAGGAAATCAACTATGAATATTCATTGGAAGGACTGATGCTGAAACTCCAATCATTTAACCACCTTTTGCAAAGAGCTGACTCATTGGAAAAGACCCTGGTGCTGGGAAAGGTTGAAGGCACAAGGAGAAGGAGGCGGCAGAGGATGAGATGGTTGCACGGCATCACCAACTCAATGGACATGAACTTGAGCAAACTCTGGGAGAGAGCGGAGGACAGAGGCGCCTGGCGTGCTGCAGTCCATGGGATCACAGAGTCCGACGTGACTCAGCAACTGAACAGTAGCAACAACATAGAGCCTTAGTATCACCTGTGAGTGATGCTCACACTGTGAGTATCACTTAATATCACTTAATATCACCTGTGAGCCTCCTGTTTCAGAAATGCTCTGATTTTTGTGTGCTCTGTTTCTCCCTTCTCACAGTTTGTATCAGTCCAGCACAAGCCATCATCTGCTTGAAGGACAAAAGAGCAGGATGAAGAAATCCTGAGTACAGAATCTAAAATGAGTGAATGAGTTACCCATAATTTAAAATTTTGTTCATTTTCTTTGGGTTCCTGTTAAAATACTGGCTGGTGTTAGGTAATAATGCAACACGAAATATGTAGTGAAAAATATGTTCTCATTGCCTAATATACATTCTTAGAATCCTAGGCTGAAAGACAGTGATATAAATCATATATATGCATATATATATATACACCCCTTTCCTTTCCATATGACAGTAGACAGGTTTCAATCTAGCAAAAGAGGATATCTCCCACTTTTATTGTTTAGCTTACAACAATGAAACTTAGAAATTTATCAAAGGAAGGAAATACAATCTGAAAATGTGTGATGAAGTTAGAGAGACTGGTTCAAATTTTAATTAAAATAGGATTGATATCATATAACTCTAGCAACAGGGTATCAATCATCAGAAAAGATTGTTGCTTTAAATCAGAAGCATGGGTATGAGGGAGAGCTGTCTAACAAATGTGTGTCTGTCAATCTTAATGTTTTATGATTGCTACAAATACATAATTAAGTGAAGAACTGCTAGTTTTCAGTTGTGGTTAGTAGATAGATCATAAAATTAAAAGTATGGAATCAACTTGACGAAGTCTGGAAGAGAAGAATGCCATATTAAAGAGGTCTCATACTGAAAAAGGTAAGATTAAACTTTTAGAATTTTCCCACTTATAAGATATATAATTTTGAGAAATTCAGTTAATTTATCTAAGTCTCAGATTCTTTCTTTGTAGAAATATTATCAAGCCTATAGATTTGTAAAAATTAAATATGTCTCATATATAAAACAGAACTTGACTTGCAAGAAGTAAACCTCAATGAATTATGTTTGCATAATAGTATATGTATTTGTATGTATATATATGTATATTTTTAAATGCCTTCATATGACTAGATGGATATTCAAAATAGGTTTAGGTTTTCTCATTCAATATCCATTGCCAAATCATATCCTACAAAATAGCTTACTCCATTAAAAGGACACATGCAAAACTCAAAATAAGAGAGTTGTTTCTCAAGTAGCATGCCAAGTGTATGTAGGAAAATTATCACCCACACTAGATTCTATCTTACAAATTTCAGAAAACCAGTTAAGATCAAAAAGTAAGTTGGCAAAAGGAATTGAACTTACCAGGTCAACACATTGTGAATCTAATCTTTTACATTTTGTATCTACTTTGCTGCATGTTTTTTTTGGATTATACATTTGTATGTTCCTAGGTCACTACAAAATAGAGAAGTGCCTGCTAAACTACATTAAATTGCTCTCAATATAGCTTTAAAATACACTGTAATATTGCCTTAATCAGACTGTCTCAATAACCTTAGCAGCTCACTGTAGAGCTGCTGGATAAAAGAATCTTACACACCTGCTTCAAAATTTAGTTGATTTCAGACTGTGCACACCTAGGTGACTGATCATTTTCTAGAAATGGTGTCTATAAATTTGGAAACTCACAGACTCACCAGGCCTGTAAATTACTTATGTGATTAAAATAAGTAGCTGCTTTCTTTAATGTGCAATTTTATGAGGAAGTAACTATTAATACTATATTAATGCAGATCTGTGTAAGAAATGTTTAATGTCACTGTGAACAAACCTTGTCTTATTTTTTTTAATAGAAGAGTTGCACCAGGTCTTAAACAGCAAACCAAATTAAAAATTTCCTCTAGTATCACATTTCACATAATAAAATGAGACATGCACATGACTTTTATTATGGGAAACAGTGGCTGACTTTATTTTTGGGGGGCTCCAAAGTCACTGCAGATGGTGATTGCAGCCATGAAATTAAAAGATGCTTACCCCTTGGAAGGAAAGTTATGACTAACCTAGACAGCATATTAAAAAGCAGAGACATTACTTTGTCAACAAAGGTTCATCTAGTCAAGGCTATGGTTTTTCCAATAGTTATGTATGGATGTGAGATTTGGACTAAAAAGAAAGGTGAACACCAAATAAATGATGCTTTTGAACTGTGATGTTGGAGAAGACTCTTGTGAGTTCCTTGGACTGCAAGGAGATCCAACCAGTCCATCCTAAAGGAAATCAGTCCTGGGTGTTCATTGGAAGGACTGATGTTGAAGCTGAAACTCCAGTACTTTGGCTACCTGATGCGAAGTTCTGATTCATTGGAAGAGACCCTGATGCTGGGAAAGATTGAGGGCAGGAGGAGAAGGGGACGATAGAGGATGAGATGGCTGGATGGCATCACCGACTCAATGGACATGAGTTTGGGTAGATTCCAACAGTTGATAATGGACAGGGAGGCCTGGCGTGCTGTGGTTCATGGGGTCGCAAAGAGTCAGACACAACTGAATGACTGAACTGAACTGAGGAGATAAATTATTTTCTTCTGCACAGTGATACACTTTTAGAATAAATAGCAATAATAATAACAAATAAATAGCAATAAATAATAAATAGCAATTAGTTTCACATTCTACAGTTTTCTTCTGTTGTATACTAGTGGTTTTCAGCTCTGGTGAGGCAACGTCCTACCTAATAACAATCAGCAAAGTATAAATTAAAAGAAAACTGTACCATCAGTGCCTCCCAGGTAGCTCAGTAGTAAAGAATCCACTTGCTAATGCAGGAGACACAGGAGATGCAGGTTCAGTTCCTGGGCCAGGAAGATCCTCTGGAGGAGGAAATGGCAATCCACACCAGTATTGTTGTCTGGGAACTCCCATCGTCAGAGGATCCTGGCCAGCTACAGTCCATGGGGTCACAAAAGGGTCAGACATGACTTATTGACTGAGCATACATACACATACCATCAAAAATTGAGAATACCAAGTGTTCCTGAGAAAGTATTGATATAGACATTTAATAATTTTCCCCTTAATATTTTTCTGAGATTGTTTTCATAGGAAGCATTCTCAAGTTTCTAAGCAGTGGAATTCTAGCATTTGGTAGCAGAAGAAAAAAACAAAAAACAAAACAGGTTTTGGAAGCTTCAGCTTACAATATTGCAAAAGAAAACTATAGACAGAATTAACAAGTAAGATGTGGAACAATGTCAATTTTTTATTGCACCACTTGCAAACTCATAAATTTATTAATAATTTATTGACAGATAAAACATTTATCTCTTGTTTTTCAGATTTTGTGTTCTATCTAAATCATAATAGGCATTACTGATGTTCAGGATCTAGGTAAAATATTTGTCATATACCCTTTTATGGCTATAGAACATGCAACATTTTCTAAGCATCCACTAAAGACAAATGCTATAATTCTCAGTGTTACTAAAGTAGCAAGTGCTTATGTTTTTGTACTTTAATTTCTTTAAAGGCTACCAGCTCTTGAAAATAGGACCCAGTTTCAGTATGGTAAAATTTGAAGACTTAATTTCGGCAATTGGATTTTAAAACTATTAATAAGCCATACATGCACATGATAAATTATTGCCAATAGGTTAACATATTCCTTTTGCTGGTTAAAATAAAATCCATTCATGCAGTTATATAAAATAGTTATTCTGAAGTCACTATCCCAGTGATCTTATCATTAACTTGCCCAACTATTACTGAATTTTCCTATAATGTTAATTAGGAACTTGGTCTCTCTAGCAGAGCTAGAAATTTTATAATGTAGGACCATTGTGGCTCTTCACGTCATGGATGATATGTCTCTTTCCCTAAGGGAATGTCGGGAGATATTCATGGAGGGGATGCCATTATCCATCATCTATGAG